AGGTGTATAGGGTACGGTGAACCGCTAAGGTGTAAAGGGTACAGTGCATCACTAAGGTGTATATAAAGGGTACGGTGAACCGCAAAGGTGAATATAGAGGGTACTGTGAACCACCAAGCTATAGAGAAAGTCTGAAGGTTTCTACTGGAGCATACGGTTAATGAACCACCTCACCTACACCAAGGTGCTTGGAGGGTTATCTGTAATACTTGGACTGGCTTCAGTAGAAATCTTCAGACTTCCTGTGGATTCAGAGGAATCCCAGGTTGTATAACTTACACCATGTCCTGGTACAGGGGTAAGGTGCGCAGCTGGGAGTACCCTGATCGCAGGTTCGAATCACCTCAGTACTCGAGTACAGTACAATAGATTTCCTCACTGATGTATATTACATTAGTGTGATTTATTTGTGTAAGTAATAAGACTATCAGGTATAAAGTGGACTCATTAGAGTTCAAGGTTGAATAGCTTTTGTCCTATCGTGACCGAATGGGTTAAGGGACGCGTCTAGTATTCATTAGTACGTTGGTTCAACATTGTTCCAAGTGATTTGTCCATTGATATATATCACGTTAGTGTGATTCCTGTGTGTACTAACACAGTGATATGAATGCCAGCATCAAACTCATCTTATCCTTAACAGCATCCACACGTTTCTGCCCGAAACACTTTGCGTAATAGTGGCTTTAGGCATTGTATGTACTAGCTCTATCTATTAACCCAACAAACTTTGTAAAATCTCTTGTATGTATGTACCTTACCTAAATAAACATTTATTTATTTATTTATTTATCATTTATTTAATAGCAACAACAGCAAGTAATGATAAGATCTCCTACTTACCACCGTGGTTAATACTCCCAGGTGCCGGCATCTTCAACCTGTGGACAAGAGAGAGCACAGAGTAGTTAACACCTGGAACACCACATGACACAACCCAGCATATAACATGAAAATAATACGTTAAACTAATACATACAATAACCAGTAACGTAATATATATCAGACGATTGTCTCAAGAAATAATAATCAATATATATGTAAACTTATTAAAACAGAACAAGCAACTAAGTATAGTTTCGAGATATTTTTTATTGTCTTACACAAAAAAAATATATAAATAAGTTAAAGGTGTTAAAATTTTCAGGGAAAATACTAAAATTTGCCATCAGGGCATTCTGAAAACTGCCATCAGGGCATTCTGAAGACTGCCATCAGGGCATTCTGAAGACTGCCATCAGGGCATTCTGAAGACTGCCATCAGGGCATTCTGAAAACTGCCATCAGGGCATTCTGAAAACTGCCATCAGGGCATTCTGAAAACTGCCATCAGGGCATTCTGAAGACTGCCATCAGGGCATTCTGAAGACTGCCATCAGGGCATTCTGAAGACTGCCATCAGGGCATTCTGAAGACTGCCATCAGAGCATTCTGAAGACTGCCATCAGAGCATTCTGAAGACTGCCATCAGGGCATTCTGAAGACTGCCATCAGGGCATTCTGAAAACTGCCATCAGGGCATTCTGAAGGCTGCCATCAGGGCATTCTGAAAACTGCCATCAGAGCATTCTGAAGACTGCCATCAGGGCATTCTGAAGACTGCCATCAGGGCATTCTGAAGACTGCCATCAGAGCATTCTGAAGACTGCCATCAGAGCATTCTGAAGACTGCCATCAGGGCATTCTGAAGACTGCCATCAGGGCATTCTGAAGACTGCCATCAGGGCATTCTGAAAACTGCCATCTAGATATTCTGAAGACTGCCATCAGAGCATTCTGAAAACTGCCATCAGGGCATTCTGAAAACTGCCATCAGGGCATTCTGAAGACTGCCATCAGGGCATTCTGAAGACTGCCATCAGGGCATTCTGAAGACTGCCATCAGAGCATTCTGAAGACTGCCAATAGAGCATCCTGAAGACTGCCATCAGAGCATTCTGAAGACTGCCATCAGGGCATTCTGAAGACTGCCATCAGGTCATTCTGAAGACTGCCATCAGGGCATTCTGAAAACTGCCATCAGGGCATTCTGAAGGCTGCCATCAGGGCATTCTGAAAACTGCCATCAGGGCATTCTGAAAACTGCCATCAGGGCATTCTGAAAACTGCCATCAGGGCATTCTGAAGACTGCCATCAGGGCATTCTGAAGACTGCCATCAGGGCATTCTGAAGACTGCCATCAGAGCATTCTGAAGACTGCCATCAGAGCATTCTGAAGACTGCCATCAGGACATTCTGAAGACTGCCATCAGGGCATTCTGAAGACTGCCATCAGGGCATTCTGAAAACTGCCATCAGGGCATTCTGAAAACTGCCATCTAGATATTCTGAAGACTGCCATCAGAGCATTCTGAAAACTGCCATCAGGGCATTCTGAAAACTGCCATCAGGGCATTCTGAAGACTGCCATCTAGATATTCTGAAGACTGCCATCTAGATATTCTGAAGACTGCCATCAGAGCATTCTGAAGACTGCCATCAGAGCATTCTGAAAACTGTCATCAGGGCATTCTGAACCAGGTAATAAAGGGTATGAGAATGGGAACGTAAGAATAAGAGGAAGAAAACGAAAGAGAAAAAGGATGGGTAGGCTTATGTTAGGTCAAACGTGACCTAATATAAGCCTATCTAACATATACTGTGGCTGTGGCAGGTTTAGTGTCTGTATACTGTGGTGATGGCAGGTTTGGTGGTTGTATACTGTGGTGGTGGCAGGTTTGGTGGATGTATACTGTGGCTGTGGCAGGTTTGGTGGTTGTATACTGTGGTGGTGACAGGTTTGGTGGCTGTGTACTGTGGCAGGTTTGGTGACTGTATACTGTAGTGATGGCAGGTTTGGTGGCTGTATACTGTGGTGGTGGCATGTTTGGTGGCTGTATACTGCGGCTGTGGCAGGTTTGGTGGCTGTATACTGTGGCTGTGGCAGGTTTGGTGGCTGTATACTGTAGCTGTGGCAGGTTTAGTGGCTATATACTGTAGCTGTGGCAGGTTTGGTGGCTGTATACTGTAGCTGTGGCAGGTTTAGTGGCTATATACTGTGGCTGTGGCAGGTTTGGTGGCTGTATACTGTAGCTGTGGCAGGTTTAGTGGCTATATACTGTGGCTGTGGCAGGTTTGGTGGCTGTATACTGTAGCTGTGGCAGGTTTAGTGGCTATATACTGTAGCTGTGGCAGGTTTGGTGGCTGTATACTGTAGCTGTGGCAGGTTTAGTGGTTATATACTGTGGCTGTGGCAGGTTTGGTGGCTGTATACTGTAGCTGTGGCAGGTTTAGTGGCTATATACTGTGGCTGTGGCAGGTTTGGTGGCTGTATACTGTAGCTGTGGCAGGTTTAGTGGCTATATACTGTGGCTGTGGCAGGTTTGGTGGCTGTATACTGTGGCAGGTTTGGTGGCTGTATACTGTAGCTGTGGCAGGTTTAGTGACTATATACTGTGGCTGTGGCAGGTTTGGTGGCTGTATACTGTAGCTGTGGCAGGTTTAGTGGCTATATACTGTGGTTGTGGCAGGTTTGGTGGCTGTATACTGTAGCTGTGGCAGGTTTAGTGGCTATATACTGTGGCTGTGGCAGGTTTGGTGGCTGTATACTGTGGCAGGTTTGGTGGCTGTATACTGTAGCTGTGGCAGGTTTAGTGACTATATACTGTGGCTGTGGCAGGTTTGGTGGCTGTATACTGTAGCTGTGGCAGGTTTAGTGGCTATATACTGTGGCTGTGTCAGGTTTGGTGGCTGTATACTGTGGCAGGTTTGGTGGCTGTATACTGTAGCTGTGGCAGGTTTAGTGGCTATATACTGTGGCTGTGTCAGGTTTGGTGGCTGTATACTGTGGCTGTGACAGGTTAAGTTGCAATAAAGTGTAGTGGAGGCCGTTGTGTCAGTGTATACTGCAGTGGAGGAGCCCTATTATACACTGCCCTAACGGCAGCTTCGACTACACTGTACCATGGTACAGTAAACTGTAAACTGTACACTATAGTGTTGTCAACACAGGGGAGTGAGTGTTGGTAATGTTTACAGGTTATAATTGAGGGAGTGTATGATAGTTTGAGGTTGTAATGAGGCGGCTGGTAGTGGTGTCAGGAGTGGTGTAGTGTAGGCAGTGTGCACAAGTTAGGGTGAGGGCGGGGTGGTGTCAGGCCCAGTGGTGTAGTGTAGGCAGTGTGCACAAGTTAGGGTGAGGGCGGGGTGGTGCCAGGCCCAGTGGTGTAGTGTAGGCAGTGTGCACAAGTTAGGGTGAGGGCGGGGTGGTGTCAGGCCCGGTGGTGTAGTGTAGGCAGTGTGCACAAGTTAGGGTGAGGGCGGGGTGGTGTCAGGCCCAGTGGTGTAGTGTTGGCAGTGTGCACAAGTTAGGGTGAGGGCGGGGTGGTGTCAGGAGTGGTGTAGTGTTGGCAGTGTGCACAAGTTAGGGTGAGGGCGGGGTGGTGTCAGGCCCGGTGGTGTAGTGTAGGCAGTGTGCACAAGTTAGGGTGAGGGCGTGCACGACCTAGCTGGCAGCGGGAGCCGGACATATGGGTGGCCGAGGGGTAGGCTGGTCCGCAACTATTGGGGATTATCTGTTTCCTGACATATCGTCGCCTGGCGATCATAACCAGCAATGTCGCACCCAACGGCCTCGCAAAAATGGCCTTTACGGTAACGTGTCACTGTGACAATATTCTAAGAACAACAAATTATTGGAAAGTGTGTTACAATGCAAAAGCTAATGTATTCTCCCTGCACCTGTTTCATCGCAGTGGCGCGCCTGATCAACCAACGGTAACCAATCACGTCGCAGTTCCTTCCCCACCGACTTACCCGCTCGACATGGAATGACATGATTGGTCAGCCACCGTGGCATACGCCGCTGATTGGCTGCGAGGAGGAGTGCGCGCGCAAACTGTATCGCCTATGGTCCCCTGATAGATCAATATGATTGGGAGGTGTGCCTGGAGAATCTGGTCTCGTCTTCTTATAAAACAGTATCTGCGAGAATAACTCTATTAGTCAGTTTTCGTTTGGTTATAGCTTGTCAGACACAGGCTAAAGAGTCGAAGCTAAGTTGATTTACCGTAACAAACTTTGTTTTCTGCCACGAGGCCTCCAGTTGCGGGCAGGCATTATTCCCCTCCTGATCTGTCTCCTGTTCATTCATCCAGATTTAAATCATTCAGAGTGACTGGTAATCGCCCAGAACGCCAGAGTTGATAGCGTGGTGTACTTTTACCGGACCTAATTGCTGGCAGTGTCAATGGCGTGGTTGACTCGGTGAGTTGGCCCTGTGAACTGTGGTTGTGCGGTGGTTGTGTCCCGCCTGGAGGAGGCACGTGCCCCTGGACCCTGTGCGACGGCTGCATCAGGTCTGGACAGCCCAGAGAACTATTTTCCCTACGCGGGTCCCGCTGCCGCTGGCGTAGCTGGCTCCTTGCGCCCCTGGGAACACAACATCGGCAAGATTTCACTACCGGCGGGCACCACGTGGCCGCTGGGCCTGGGGCGGGCGCCCGTGGACGTGGGTGTGGGGCTAGGCGGAGGCGGCGTCCACCTCCAGCGTCACGAAGTCAAGGAGGAGGTGGGTGGTCTAATGGACGTGGGAGACCGTGGAGAAAAACGCAAGGTGGAAGATTTCTCCACATTGTACAGCCTGGATCACGGGCCGACGGCCGCCGCCACACCTTCCCACGGGCCCACCACGCCCCCGCGCTCACTACCTGAACAGACAGGTGAGAAATTTACCTGCCATTACACAGGTGAGACCACGTTTTGTTGTTTCGCCAGAGGGAGGGGGATAATTATCTTCATCTGTGGTGTGGTTCCTTGCGGTAAAGACGGGGCTGGCTCAGCTGGCCGAATAACTACCCATCATGAAGTGCCTTGTATTGTTGTTACGTTACATCTATATTACTGGTTTAATGTCATATTCTGCTTCCAGTAAATAGGACGTAGTGAATATATATTAGTGCTAGCACGGATAAATGCTGCCTTGCTAGGATAATTCACGCGTACAGTATCATTAATATGAGCCATGCAGAGCCGGCAGCGTTTTTGCTGGAGCCCAGCAAAGCCTACTCCCCCTGCGCCTTACACACAGTAAAGGGGACTAAGACAAGAAGGGCGACCCTTATCCTCGGAGAAAAGCACACATAACTCATTAGAGGGGAGTTTTAGGTCCCCATATATAAGAATTATATATTCACAGATAAGTAAAAAAAATTCAGGACAATAACTGTTCGGAGATAAAATATTTAAAATGGTTTTAAATCTGTTAATTATCATACTTCTTTCTATCACCGAGTGAAAGACAAACAGAAAACTGGAGTTCTCTCGCTGGATGGCCCATATACAAGGCGCAGTAGCAGGACAGACTATACTAGATCATTTTTTCCCGCGAGTTAGTTTCCTAGCTCATTACATAATAATAATAACAATGGAGAGGTTTACTACACTATTGTAGTGCTTAAATGAAGGAGAAGAAAAGACCCAATGCTTGTATTAGTGTATTATCACACTAAGTTTCTGGCTGAACATGCATCCATTATCACGGTGATGTATTCGGTGTATTGACTGTTTACAATACCTTGATGAATGTAGGTTCATCCAAAACTTCAGTTTAATAATACACTTACACAAATATTGGGTCTTTTCTTCACCTTCAATAATAATAATAATAATAAATAATAATAATAAATTATTATATGGCCATCGGCTAACACTTGCCGAAATCCCGATTCTGACCGTTAGACTCCGACGTTATTGATAGGCTATGAAATTCTAACGTTATTGGCCAGGGTATGAACTGCAGAGGTTATTGGCTAGGCTGCAACGTACATACAGTATATGCACCAAATATGCAGTATATATGCACCAATAGATGTAACCTGCTTCTTGATACATATACACTGAGTTTACTGTGGTCATGGACTATGTTCACTACTAAAATATCCTTACTGGTTGCTCAGCAATGTTGTTGTTGCATAAATAACCTTCTATTTGTTTACCCGCTTTAAGCCCAACACCAAGCCAAAACTAAGCTGTAAGCCCCTAACTTGATGACTTCATATATTTCAAAGAATTTGTGGATGATTTTGACAAGCTGTAAGCCCCTAACTTAATGACTTCATATATTTCAAAGAATTTGTGGATGATTTTGACAAGCTGTAAGCCCCTAACTTGTATGACTTCATATATTTCTAAGAATTTGGATGATTTTGACAAAAACACAGACGAAGTGATGAGCATACTCATGGAGCGACTGATGTTGATGACTGTACAAGAGCAATGTTAACCCTGAATCGAAGAATGTCTTAAAACCTCTGTATAACGCATGCGCCATATTGTAACTGTCATCCACGCATATTTTAGTTCATTTGTTCTGTGTCCCGTCCTTCTATTGGACGAGACACAATCGACAAGAAATCGACTTGAGAATGGTCCAGGACGGACCGAAACGTCGTCGTCCCTTCACCTTCTAGTGTGTGGTCTGGTCAACATACTTTAGCCACGTTATTGTGACTCATAACCTGCATTGTTGTAGGTAACCAGTAAATTGCCAGTGTAGAACCATAATCTAGAGAACTAGAAGGATACGAACTGGGGTCTCAGGGTGCGCCGGGTTCCGAACTCTACCATCTGCGCCAACATCTAGGTAAACTAAACTGGATACAGGTTTCCATAAGCACACCGAATACATTTTTATTATATTTTTACTGTAGCAAAACCTTATTAAAAACAGTAATTGCCAAATTTGAATAAAAGCACAAACCTTAGTATATTATTTTGAACAAACGAGGCTGTCCTAATTATCGTATTAAAGACATAATTATATGTAAGTTGAGTGGTATTGTGAAATACTGATACTAATAACATTTAACGACTTAATTTTCCGAATGATAATAATTAATTATCTTGTTGATTAATTATATTATGTTGTGATAATACAAGCATTAACACAACTTGCGTTCACGAATGAAGATAATGTAACAAAGTAAAAAAAAAATGAAATAAAACAATGCAAGATATTATGAGCGAAACTAATTGAAGATTCACACGTTAAAAAAATAAAAAACGTAAAAATAAAATCTTATTGCAACACAAATTAATTAAAAAAAAATGAATAAATTAAAAGAAAAGACGACATTAATAACAACCTTGTACGTCAAAGGTTTAAAAAAACGGGCTAAAGGAATAATAATAATAATAATAATAATAATAATAATAATAATAAAAATAATAAAACCCTTAACATTCTTTACAATACATTGCCTTTCCTTGTAATCCAAATAACTTTACCCAGAGCGGCAACTTCCATAGGTTTGAAAATAATAATAATAATAATAATAATAATAATAATAATAATAATAATAAATATTAACCCCAATTAAGCAAATAGTAGTTGACACGTGCGTGCCACTGTCCGCGGGGTTTCCAATTACTATATTAGCACAACACAGCACAAATTACCCAATCGTGTCGTTATCGGCCGACAGCGCTACGGGAAAACATTATTGTTACTTATCAATGGGATATATCGTGCCAAAAATCAAATGGCGGTGTCTGAGACTCACTATAATGGACAAGACTTTCCTCGAATAATTTTCGATCCAGTTAGTAAAGTATTCATTGATTCATATATCTGCATGAACTTTAAATTGTTAATAATTATGACGTATCAAGAGATGAGGAGGAGAGCAACAGTTAACAAGAAGTGGTAATATATAAATTATTTATTAGGCTTTTAATCTTCGTACACAATTATTAACGGATTCGCGCCCCACGTGACAAAAACAGTGTGACAAGTCCTCATAAAGCTAATGCGATTTTCCACAATTTTCTGCTCTATTGAGTGTGTGCCCAGTGTCTAATATCCCGTGACGACCTGCCCAGCCCGTGTCCCAATTCCTGCATACCCGCCTTACCCTCGGCTACCACAACCCTACTTTATATAATTCCGACCGTTATCCCTAACTTAAATCATTCACCCCCCGTACTAACATGAAATATTTATCGTAAATACTTCAGTGTGAATGAGCAGGGTTGTTACTATGGCGTATAATGTTATGATACAAATAGTTTGATGCGTAATGCATTCGGACGCGGTCCATTATTGGACAGGAGGAGTCTTGTCGGACATGGAGGTTACAATAGCCGACCTACTGGAATTTAAGCGCGCGCAGCCTCGCCAAGATGGATACCTCACGTCCCCGCTCGTCCTCTCACGCCTTGACTGTCTCCTTACACACGCTCAAGCTCAACATTCATGCATCTATCACAGTGAATGTTTTGATTTCACCGTAATATGTGAGGTTAAAGGACTGTAGCGGCGTTGTGTAGGGGTTGGAGGGGTCCATCAAAGGACAATCTGTTGGAGTGGGTTTTGACAATGGCGGGCAGCCAGCGCGGGACCTGAGGCAGATGACTGGCCCCGCCCGGCGCTTCACACTCTTCAACTGTTTCACCTTTCATATATTTGTTCTTCCTTTTCGCTGAATTGCTTAGTGTGTTCCAATGTGTATGTTGCCTGCTGATTATTTCTTCAATTTTATATTTATTTTATAAAACACACACACACACTAGGAGGAGGAAACTAGGAGGCTAGGAACACTAGGCTAAAAGGCTAGGAAAACACACTAGGAAACTAGGAGGAAGAACTAGGAGGCCAGTCACTGGATACCGAATGGGAGATGAAGGTTTTCACGAAACTGACAGAGAGAAAGATCTAGGAGTTGATATCACGCCAAACCTGTCTCCTGAAGCCCACCTCAAAAGAATAACATCGGCGGCGTATGCGAGGCTGGCTAACATCAGAACTGCTTTCAGAAACCTGTGTAAGGAATCCTTCAGAACCTTGTGTACCACATATGTAAGACCAATCCTGGAGTATGCAGCCCCATCAAGGAGCCCGTACCTTGTCAAGCACAAGACGAAGCTGGAAAAAGTTCAGAGGCATGCCACAAGGCTAGTCCCAAAACTAAGAGGCATGAGTTATGAGGACAGGCTGCGTGAACTGCACCTCCCGTCGCTGGAAGACAAAAGAGCTCGGGAAGACATGATCATCACATACAAAATTCTCAGGGGAATTGACACGGTAGACAAGGATGGATTATTAAACACGGGTGGTACACGCACAAGGGGACACAGGTGGAAGTTGAGTACCCAAATGAGCCACAGAGACATTAAGAAGAACTTTTTCAGTGTCAGAGTAGTTAGTAAATGGAATGCACTAGGAAACGAAGTGGTGGAGGCTGACTCCATACACAGTTTCAAATGTAGATATGATAGAGCCCAATAGGCTCAGGAATCTATACATCAGTTGATTGACGGTTGAGAGGCGGGACCAAAGAGTCAAAGCTCAACCCCCGCAAGCACAACTAGGTGAGTATACACACACACGTTGTGGCGCCGGTGGCTGTGTGGACTGCACGCTGGACACACAATCCTAAGGCCCGGGTTTGATTCCCGGCGCCAACGAGAAACAAAATGGGCAGTTTCTTTCACCCTGATGTCCTTGTTACCTAGCAGTAAATAGTTAGACAGTTAGCCTGGGAGTTACACAGCTGTTACAGGCTGCTTCCTGTGTGTGTGTGGGGGGGGGGGAATAGTAGTCAACTGTCAATCAGTTGATTGATTGACAGTTGAGAGGCGGGCCGAAAGAGCAGAGCTCAACCCCCGCATCGTTGAATATATATATATATATATATATATATATATATATATATATATATATATATATATATATATATATATATATATA